CCTCAATGCTTCTTAAAGAGAAGAAAGCAAGCAGTCACTTCTGGTTATAGATTTGAAGCTGGAGTTAAGAGTTTCAGGCTTTCTTTCCATTTCTCTGTATATGCTTTCCGTTTCTTTGTGCTTTTCTACAGTCCTGCCACCTCTTCCCTAACTCCTGATGCTCTCCTGCTTCTCCTTTCAGAATATAGTCTGTCCCTTACTGCCCTAGTCTTCTCATTTATAGAAATGCACAACTTCCAATCTGCCATTTTAGCCCCAGAAACCTCTAATATTGATCTTAATTGTTGACCTTTATACCAGTGTATATGCAGTTTCTGTTTGGTGAAAATTAACATTATTAGTAAATACTACTTGTAAGCAAAGGGTATTTGAATGTTAGGTACAAGTGAGTGAAGTCTGAATTTGGACTTTTGAGGTTGTTAAATGGTATTACAGAGAGAGCTAAAACTGACATTTCTGGAGCTGGAGAGATGGCTCAGCCAATAAGAGCACTTCTGTTCAATCATGAGGACCAGAGTTAGACTCTTAGCTTCTACCTAACAAACTGAGCATCCTGCAAACGCCTATAAGTCCGATGCCCTCCTCTGACCTCTACATACATGTGTATGTACTCACACAAACAACAAAAAACTTTTTTTAAAAAATCTGATATTTTTATTTTTGTAGAAAGCAAAGTTCCATTTTAATATTTTGGAATATTTAGACTATGTTTCATTTCTATTAAGACCTTCACAAGTAAGGTGTATATATGAGTCATTGAGCTTTAAAGATTATAGTGGAACATACTGCTGTCAGGTGGTCATTTCTTTAGTAAAACTTACATATTAATTAAGAATATTGTTTCAGAACAAGAAGTGGTTAAAAACAATCGTGATTTTGACATCATGCTATCTTTTATTTTTTTTTTGCATTGGAATTTAACTCAAGACCTTGGTACATGCTAAGCATGTGCTCGCCCTCAGAGCTACATCTTTAGCAACTATATCAGGTGACTTAATAGCTTTCATTAAAGTTAGGTGACTTTTACTGATTAGAAGGCAATGCCTTTGAGGAGGGTTGGAATGTTTGGGTAGCTAGGCTTTACTTGGGTTTTTTGTCGGTTTTTATTTCATGTGTTTTGCTGGCATCAATGTAAGCGCACTGTGTTGTGCAGTGCCTGTGGAGGCCAGAAGAGGGTACCAGATTCCCTGGAACAGGAGTTATGGATGGTTGTTAATTGCCATCTGGGTGTTGAGAACTGAACCTGGGTCCTCTGTGAGAGTATCCAGGGCTCTTAACCACTGAGCCAGCTCTCCAGCCCCTAGCTAGGTTTTTTCCCTACAATTTCCAAACTCTGTGACCACTGTCATTGCATTTTCACTTGTATCTAATGATATTTATCAGTTTACTTTGACAATTCTCAAGTTGATAGGCTCTGAAAATTTTGTTCAATTTTGGGATGCTCATCTAAATTATGGGGTCATTTTTCAGATACTAATAACCACTCAGAATAAGCAGCTTTGTTTTTTAGGGTCAGTTAACATTATTCCATTCATCTGCTTTGACCTAGAAAATATACATTAAGCCATACTTTAGGGTTCCCGGATAGCTGGATGTGTAGGCTTGAAAGACCAGTAATGTGCCCAGGAACTTAGATTGGTGAGGAATGCTGGCTCAGAAACATTACTAAGCTAGTCATGTAGTGTGTCGTGGGAATAGTATAAGCACAATTAAAAGCATATTTCTGATAGTGTATAGAAATGGTTCTCTATCTTGTTCATAAATTCTACTCTGTCATTGCATGTGTCCCATCTCTGTAACTGATGGTTATAGTCAACAAGGGCTTCTGAAGTGAAGTAGAAGCTTGAAATGACACGTGTTTGGCACAGAACAATTTTTTAGGTTGTTTAACTTCTTTCCTTTATTACACGTATCTCTTATAATTTTGACTCATCCAAGATCACATACCCATCTAGAATATGACAGCCACCAAACTCTTTACCTAGAACTTTCTCATTTTATTATATTGCCTTAGGAGCTGCAGAGGGAGGACTAGAAGTTCTTTGAAAGAGCAATTCTAGAAAGGCTTCATGTAGATAGCATAGCAGTTTTTATGCATGTTATACTGATGCCCACACAACTCAACTGCTTTCTGACCTGAATTTCTTCTTCACATGTTGGATATTATCTTAGACTACTGGGGCAACCTTGCTTTTGGGATTTGGTAGTGATTTCTGTCCTGAGATCCCTGCAGCTTTTCAGCACTGAAAGTGTATATGTGTGTGCATTTAATTTTTGATTTTGTGATTTATGTATGTATTTTGCCTACATGTTGGAAGTGCAACATGTACATGCAATGCCTACTAAAGTCAGAAGAGGACATCAGATCCCCCAGAACTGGAGTTAGGGATGGTTGTTAACGACCACGTGGATGCTAGGAACTGAACCTGGATCCTCTGCAAGAGGAGCCAGTGCTCTTAACCTCTGAGCTGTCTCTAGTCCCTGAAGGTGTGTTTTTAAACTTTTAATGTAGAAATATTCAGACATACACAATAGTTTCTCAAATCTTTGTTTTTCAAAAATCAGGTGAAAACTGAGCATGGTGGCTCATACCTATAATCCTAGGATTTGAGATGCTGAGTCAGGAGAATTAATGCACATTTGAGGCCCACCTGGGCTACAGAATAAGACCTTATCTCAAAAAACAAAGCAATAAAAGTTTTAAAAATTAAAAACTTGATGGTGGGTTTTATTTGTTTCTTGTTTGTTTTTGTGCAGTGCTGGGGACCAAACGTAGGGCTTTATAACTAAGTCATATCCTTAGTCCCCATGTTGGAAATTTTATACTTACTGTACAAAGTCTGTTGATGTGTATGTTAGTTGTCTTAGTGGCATATAAGAATAAGCATTTATGATCATGCTCATGAGTTTGTGAGTCAGCTGGGATGATTCTGTTCTGTGTGTTTTCCTGTGATGTGGTCAGTGGGCTCTGAGGTATGCTGTTCATATGGTTAGCAGGGTACAAAGGAATAAGGAGAAGTGTGAGGGACTTCTTTAGACCCATATGCAAACTGGAAGTCTGCCTCTTAAACTTTCTCCCCAGTGACCAGAGCAATCCTGGTAGCCAAGTTCTAAATCAGTGGGCTGAGGAAGTATATTCTCATTGATGTGTGTAGGAATCATAGTGAACCTCTATTGGCTGTTTTCTTTTGTTTGCCATTATACTAACTCAGTGTGACAGTGTTTATCATTACTATAGTGCAGTGTTAACTGTCTCTTCTCTGCCTCCTATCAAAGACTGAAATTTATCATTTTTGTTTTCTATGTGTGTTTGTCTGTGTTTGTTGCTGGTCTGGGGAATCAAACAAACCTAAGACTATGCATATTATGTAAATACTCAACCACTGAGCTACATCCCCACCCCAAAAAACTGTCATCATTTTATCTACAGTAATTAACATAGTATTTAGCACATATAACATATATCTAGTAAAAGCTTTTTGAACAGATACATTAATTATGGGGCCAAAAGTGGTGGCACATCTGTAATATGTTCAAGTCCCAGCCTAGGATACATAGCTATATCCTAGAAAAAGAAAAAAAAAAAAAGGAGGGGCTGGAAAGATGGCTCAGTGGTTAAGAGGGGCTGGAAAGATGGCTCAGTGGTTAAGAGGGTTAAGAGCACTTACTGCTCTTATAAGAAGACCTAGGTTCAGTTCCTAACATCCATGTAGCAGCTAACAACTGTCTGTAACTTCAGTTCCAGGGAATCAGATACCCTCTTCTGCCCTCTGCTCACAGGTACTACATGCATGTGGTGCACTTACATACATGCAGGCACAAAACATTCAAATACATAAAATAAAAATAAATAGCTGGGTGTGGTGGCATTTACCTTTAATCCCAGCACTTGGGAGGCAGAGGCAGGTAGATCTGAGTTAGAGGCCAGCCAGGTCTACATAGTGAGTTCTAGGGCAGCCAAGGCTACATAGTAACACTCTTCAAATAATTAAAAAATAAAAATAAATAAAAAAAATTTTTAAAAAGTATTTGAATGGACAGGAAGTTGAATTGCTTTGGTTTATAGGCCAGAGTCTTAAAACTTGAATTATGGAAAATCTTTCCTAGTGAGTATCCTAACTGAACTTTATATTAGTTCTGGGACTCAGTAAATTGTGGTGCTAAAAATTTCGAGATGTGCTAGAAAGTTGGACTGACTTTTATAACTAGTCATACATCTTATTGCAAAATATGTTTTTTTTTCTTCTCTGCTTTTTACACTTTGTTTTAGTTCTTACATTAGTGGTGTTCATGAGTTGGCCATTTAGAAAATAGATAAACCATCTATGGTAAACTTAAGCTTATTGTCAGATCTGTGAACTGAACCTTTTGGTCCTCATGTTTTCTGAAGACCCATCAATATCATACCATACTTCAGCAGACATCTTTGCTAGAATTGTCATCCATTAATAACAAAATAATGTGAAAAATTCCTTATCTCAACATGCCAGATAGGCTAAAGAGATACATTGCCATATACGTCTTATAGCCATACAGCTTCCCCTGCCCCTCCATGATCTCCCTGTGTTGCCTAAGCTGGCCTCAAAATTTGAGTTCCTCCTGCTCTGCCTCCTTAGTGCTAGGATTACAAGTGTGTATCACCGTCCTGTGCATATTTCTGAAAGGGCAATGTATGCACGAGAAAAATTTTCATTTCTCTATATGGATTAGTCAGTAAGGACCTTTGTGAAATTGATAAATGTATTGATAGCCTAGATTTATGTATTGTTACACCCTTTTTTTGTTCTTACTAGCAAAGTTGTATTATTATGGATTATCAGCTAAGGTTGGAAACATTTAAAAAAAAACAGAATCAGAGTTTATAAAATGAATTTAAACCTGTCTTTGTGTTAAAGCTCAGTTTTTTTCCATAATTGGAACAAAATTTTTAGATAGTATATATTTTTTATCAGTAGCAGCAATAAAGACTGAAAAATCTTACTTCATTTTATACTGTTTAGATTTGAAGACTGCATCATCCTGAAGCAAGCATCATCCTGAAGCAAGCAGTTTCTCTGTCTGTGATCAATGTCACTCACAGGAACTTCTTAAGTAACAAACGAAATGATCCTGGGGCGTGGAAAATATGATTTTTATATTGGTCTAGGATTGGCTATGACCTCCAGCATCTTCATTGGAGGGAGTTTCATTTTGAAAAAAAAAGGCCTTCTGCGACTTGCCAGAAAAGGCTCCATGAGAGCAGGTAAGTTATGTCCTGTAGCTGTCAAAGGACAGCATGTACTTAGGTTCTTTTAAGTATAGAAGAATATGTCTTCATTCCTTGTGACTATCTTTGAACTTTTGAACTGTTCAAGAGATATCTAAATGGATAATCAGGTACCAATTTGTAATGAGAAAAATGAATTGTCAAAGTAATTAAATGTTCATTTCTATGGTTATTATCAAAACGGGAACAGGGACCAATGCCAAATTAATTTCCAGACTAAATTTCATTATGTCTGCATAGGAGGAAATGGGATTCATGAATAGTAGAACCAGGCTTCTAATGAAGGCTGGAATATTTTATACATGCTAGAACTTCTGACTTTTAACTTAGATGTTTTTCCTGATGATCCCAATTTGGCAGGAAGGAAAAAGTGGGCTTTCCTGGCTTGAGTACTCAGTTAATTGACCTGAATAATGTAGGTTCTCCCCATCCCCCACCCCCCAACCACTCCATAAATTGCTGACAAGCCACAAGACACTAGGGATGCACAGTGATTGAACTCCAGTTCAACCCTTGGACATCCCTTGTCAGCTCTCAGTGTTGAGGTATTATCCTGGCTGTGGTTCACTTTAGACCTGAGTGGACCTCATGAGTAGCCCTGCTTGGCAGTAAAAAGGATTATTTTTTTCCTGTGCCATCTCTGTAGCCAGATCTAATTCAGCAATGTTAAAACAAATCAGTTGCCTCTTGGGATTTAGTGGACAAAAGAGAAAATACTCAGCTTTTCCCCCCATTCCCTTATCCTTGGTCTTAAGGCATACCTTCTTTTTATTCCTAGGCGTATAAAAGAATTTGCCTTGTTTTTTTATGGACAGTGACCAAAGTAACAATTGCTTCCTGACTTGATTAGCTTGGTTGAAGGGAAAACCACAGAAAAAGGAGACTATGTCTTAGCAGCCTAGATTATGAGCAGTTCTGCCTTTGTAGGACCATAGTGGCCTCTGAAGTAGGGCTACATGCATCTAAACAGCATTCCCCTTTGCAGACCAGCCCATTTGAAGTTGACTTCTTTTTTTTTTTTTTTGAGACAGGGTTTTACTCTAGGCTGCCCTGGAAATTAGTATGTAGCCCAGGCTAGCCTTGAACTTATAATACTCCTCATGCTTGAGCCTTCCAAATGCTGGGATTAGAAGTATGCACCACTATGCCTGACTTTGGTTGCTTCTTGTTGGCTCATTTTCCTTATTTATCAAAGCTAAATTAATTTTAAATAAGAACCTGAATATAAGGATAACAGAATTTTTCTAGGGTAATCGTGACTAATCAAGAAATCTCATCATCATACAGAAATCTTTAAAGTTCTTAAGATCAATAAATTTTGTGATTACTAGTAATTGTAGGTTATACAAGATAATGATAGCTTCCAAAGAATGAAATATTTCTTCATTCACAGGTCAAGGTGGCCATGCATATCTTAAAGAATGGTTGTGGTGGGCTGGACTGCTATCAAGTATGTATAGAGAACTTTCAAGAAAATGTTATAGCTGTATGTTAAAATATTTGCATATGTCATTATAGATCATATTATCAGCAAATTTTAAAACTTAAATCTTGTTTTTCTAAATAAAATTCAAAATAGATTTAAACCTGTAAAAATAATTCAGTAGTTTAATAGCTTATTTATTGTGAATAAGAAGACCTTTCTTAAAATTGTTCTGATTAAAACATTTTCAATATATCTGCATTGAAAGAAAAAAAATCTACTCAAGAAGTTAATTTGGAAGCCAAGGGAGCTCAGTGGTATAACATTTTCCTAGTGTGTAAAACATCCTGGATCTGATTTCCCAGCACTGCAAAAAAAGAAAAAAGTAATTTTGATAATGAAAGTTCATTGGAAAAAAAAAATCTTGATTTTTAGTTCTTTTCCTTTATTCTCATTTCACATAGAAAAGGTGGTATGTATTTGATAAGATTGTTCATGCTTCATTTGGTGACTACCTTTAAAAATGTATGTAGGGAAAAAATGTCCTCCAGACACTGAGACTTGAATATTCAACAATTGGTTATTGATCACCTCATGTGTGCCAGGCATCGAACATGCTAGTGAGAGAAAAACAAGCATACAACTCCAAGCAAAAAAATCCCTTTTACATGAAGCTCGCATTGTAGGTGGGACAGACTGTAAGCAAAATAAGTAGGTTAAAAGGTGTGGAGAGAGAGAGAGGGAGAGGGAGAGAGAGAGAGAGGAGGGAGGGAGTTAAGCTGGAAAGGGGATCTAAAATGAAAGGTAGTCAGGCTCAGATAGGAGGCCAGGGAGAAACAGGATGAAAAGATTTGAGTAGCAGACATAAAGGAGGTAGGAGATCTAACCATACAGGGAAAGAACATTTGAAATGAAGGAAACAGTAACTAAAGGCTTTGTGGGATACCATGACTAGCCCAGTGAACATGATAGTCTCCCCTGTATGATGCTTTGAGTGGTTGTGTTCTGGTATTCATACCTTTGTGTAATCGTCTCTTACCCTGAATTAGTGATGGCCCAATGTGATCACAAAACCCCAGGAAAGTAATGGTGTGCAACTTCTAAGGCTTCATCTTAAAAGACATTGCAGCCTTTTCCTCCTTTCTTGCATTGCTTAGTCTCACAACTGCTATACTCTGAAGATATTCAAGCTGCCTTTGGAGAGAGCATCAGTGAGCCACCATGGAACATGGCTCAAGCCTTAGATGACTTCATCCTTGGTTTACATCTTAATGCATGCTCTTAAAAGATCCTAACCACTCCTAAAGTCTGGACCAACAAACCATGAGAGTAAATTGTTACTTTTTCAGCTGGCACCACGTAGAGGTGCTTTGTTTTTAATACTAGAATATTAAAACCACACAAAACATTAAAGCAAGTATAGCAATAAGTTGTAGTAGAGATAGTAGGAGATAAGTTCAGGGAAGTGAGGGCCTGCATAATGCCATGTAGGGTTTTGTAGGTCACAGAAAGGATTTTGACCTTTATGTTAGTTGGGAAGCCATTGGAGATCCTAAGCCAAAAAGCTGTGGTATGATATGAATTAGTTTTAATAGGATCTTTATGGCTGCTTCGCAGATGCATTCACTGTAGAGGCAGATGGGGAGACACTAGTCAGGAGGCTGTTGTAGTTATAAGAGGTGACACCATGGACCAAGGAAGTAGGGAGTATGGTAAGAAGTGGTCAAATTTTGGATTTATTTTTGAGTTAGAACTGACAGGATTTGCTCACTGACTATAAAATGTATGGGGTGGAAGAAGAATTAAGGACATGAAGATTTTGTCTTCATGAATGTTCTGATGCTGAAATATAGGAAGGACCTAAGCAGATGAGGTAGGAGGACATCAGTTGTTTGGTATGAGTATGTTAAAGTCAAAAGTTTCTATAAAATATTCAAGCAGATACTGAAATTGGCAACTAGACAGGTCTGGACTTCTACCAAGTGATTCAGGCTGATAACAGAAAATTGGGAGTCGCTATCGTATTCAAAGTGACAAGACTGGTGGAGATCATGTAGAGTTCAGGAGCAGGAGGGGAAAGAGACAAAACAACCAGAATGGTAAGAGGCAACTAAGCGAGCCTAGTGTCTTTGGAACCAGTGACAGGGCTTGAGGGAACAGCTCTGGTTTGTGTCACATGATACTGGTGATATAGAGTAGGTACAATGAGAATTGAAAAGTTGACTATTATAAGTTAGTTTGCAAATTCTTGGTGCCCTTGAGAGTAGCAGTTTTGTTATTAAAACTTTTATACCAACCAAAACTTTTTTTTTCTTTTTAAAAATAGGGTCTTGCATAGCTCAGGCTAGCCTCAAACTAGCTAATGTAGCTAGGGATAACCTTGAATGTCTCCATTTTTCCGAGTGCTAGGATTACAGGCATGCTCTACCATACCTAGTTTTATACAAAAATTTTGAACATCGAAAAGTAATGTTGAAGCTGGGTGTAGTGGTCTGATAATTGAGCCAGTCACAGTGGTATTCACCTTAATCCACTTACTCTGGAGGTGAGGCAGGAGAGGATTGCTGGAGGGCATCCAGGGCAACATAATGAGGCTGTCTTGAAATATAAATACCACCCCACCCCACCCCGGCAGTGTGACTGTGACATGAAAGTGGAAGGAGAGACTGTGTGTGTGTGTGAGAGAGAGAGAGAGAGAGAGAGAGAGAGAGAGAGAGAGAGAGCGCAAATATAAACAAAGTACAATGTATGGGAATGTCACAATGAAAAACATCTTGTATGCCCACTAAAAATTGATAAAAACATACAACTTGGCATGATGGCACAGGCCTATGATCCCAATACTTAGGAGGCTAAGGCAGAAGACCAAGAATTTGAGGCCAACCGGAGCTACATAATGAGACCCTGTCTAAAAAACCAAACAATTAAGCAAAACCAACCAGTGAAAGGAAAAACAAAAAAAAACCAACTACCACTAACAAAAACAGCCAAATAAAAAGCAGTATCCGGACTTAGAGTAATGCTGTACTAGATAAATGGATCAGAATTCACTGAAAAATAGGTTTCAAATCTGAAGAAAACATAAAATCCTTCAAAAGAATTGAAGGGCTGATGTGATAGTGAAGAATGAATAGTCTGGGAAAATGATTTGAACTTAAGAGAATAAGCTGGCCCTAGAGGTGGCACCAAGCAAGCAGCAAAGAGACTGAGTGGGCCTTTGAATGGGACTAGTAAGGATCAACCTTTGGCTGCCAAAAATGGGAATCATCAAATCTTCTGAGCTGAATTCTGGAAAGCTGTGTCTTAGGAATGAGGTAGAGACTGTACTAGCTGATCATCTCTATGCATCGACTAATGTCTAGCCTAGGCCCTGAGTTGCAGAAGAAAGCACCTGGCAGAAGAAAGCAAAAATACTCTGTTGAAGATGTATTACCATGCCCTTAGTTTCAGTAAATTTTAGAAGTAAATAAAGTGCCCATTGAGTGAAATAGCATGTGCTTGTAGTTCCAGCTACTTGGAAGGCTGAGGCAGGAGGATCATTTGAGCCCAGAGGTCCAGCCTGGTAACATAATGAGATTCCATCTCTAAGAAAGAGATGGAAGCAAGGATGGAAAGAAGAAAATAAAAGGGTAGGAGAATAAAGAAGGGAAGGGAAAGAAAACAAGAAAAGCAGGCAGGCAAGCAAGTGTGCACCTGAGATGAAAAAATGTAATATAAACAGTAACCTGACTACAGATGTGGGATGTACTGTGTCCATAAAACAGCTACCTACTATGAGATCCTATAGCTATAAGAACCAAGTAGACAAGTGACATTACAGAACTGCAGAAGAACAAAAAAGTTCCTCTAAGCTAAAAAGTTTAGAATTAGGGAAAATTGAGTTGGCTTACTTGTGTTTTTAAAGAAATAGAATGAAATAATCAGAGAAAAACTATGGCAAATGGAGGTAAGAATTGTGGAACTTAGAGGATTCGGTAGAATAGCTGGAGTCTCAGAATAAAGGACAAAGAGAAGGAACTAGAAGCAATGTTTGAAGAGAAAATGGCTATTTTCCAGAACTGACCAATGTTAGCAAATCTCAGAATTGAGAGACACAAGCAAACCTGTGCAGAATGTGAAGAGTACTGGACCTAAACATGTAGTAAAACACATGAAACCAGAAGCCAGGGTTTTTAAAGCAGCCCCAGGAAAAACCATGGGTACACTCGGGTTAGCAGATGACAATGGAGTTTAACAACAGTTGGAGATAGGGTTCCAAAGTGCTAGAAAAAGTGCAGAATTCTGTATTAGTGAAAATAGACAAGCATTTTGTACAAACTAAAACCAGATGATTTGGAAGGGTATAGCAGAAAGACTGACCCAGATGGAAGTTTGAATCTCTAAGAGAGTGATGAGCGTGTGAAGACATCTGAGTGGATAGCTGTGGACTTAACATATTCATACATAAAATATAAAAATACACTAAGCTGTTTCTAACTATCTGAAAGTTGTAAAAATCCTGACTGATAATTTGGCCTTGAAATACACAAAGCAGAAATTGGTTCAACAGTCAATTGAAGTAGACAACAAATCATATAGTGAGATCATACTATCCCACAATTTTTGATAGGGAAAACTTATACAGTCAAGGCTATACAGTATTTGAATAGCAGTTTTAAAAAGCTTAACATAATGAACCTAAGCCACTGCACTCACCACTTAATATCTGTATGTCTATTGTATATGGAAAGTTTATACAAATTGACATCATAAAGCCAGTCTTAAAATTTTCAGAGGACTAAAAACATGAAAATTTGACTTGTGTGGGAATTAAGAAATATAATTGTTATATAACCTTTGGTTCAGAGAAGTCCAAGTGACTAGTAGAAACTATTATTGACCCATTTAGAAAAAGTTGATTTAAAAAGTTTGTTTTGGAGGGGTTTTATAACCTGAAAAATTCCCCCTTTCTGTTTAAAACTATAAAAATCATTCTATTACAGTGTTATTTAATATTCAAATTATGTTGCTGTGCATAAAATAAATATGCTTTAAAACAAAAAAAAATTTTGAGACAAGACTTCCCTGTAGCCCGAGCTGGCCTGGTACTCAGTACATAGACCAGGCTGGCCTCAGTCTCACAGCAGTCTCACAGAGATCCACCTGCCTCTGCCTCCTGAGTGCTGAGATTAAAGAAGTGTGCCACCACACCCAGCCTTCTCCCCATTTATGGTGCTTGACTTGAACTTAGAGCCTTGTACATGCTAGGCAAGCACTTTATTACTGAGCCTCACCTCCAGCCTAATGTTTTTATCAAAGTGATAGTCACACAGTAAACATCAAAATGGGGAAGTGTTGAAGTATGAACTGTAAACAAGTACATGAACTCTCAGTATTTAGATGAAATTTCTAATGGTAATATGTGTGGAAGGACATAGGATTAGAAAGGGATTTGTAAGATTTTGTGTGTGTGTGTGTGTGTGTTTTGAGACAGGGTCTCACTGTATAGCCAGGTTGGCCTGGAATTTGCCACATAGCCCAGGCTGGCCTCCAACTTGTGATCCTCCTGCCTTAGCTTCCATAGGTCTGAGAATACAGGTATATGTCACCAAACTGACTTATATCCATTTGAGTGTAAAAATTCCAGAGAATGCCAGGTGTGGTGGCGCATGCCTTTAATCCCAGCACTGGGGAGGCAGAGGAAGGTGGATCTCTGTGAGTTCAAAGCCAGCCTGGTCTACATAGTGAGTTCCAGGACAGCTGGGGCTACAGGGAGACCCTGTCTAAAAAAGACAAAAAAAAAAAAAAAATCCAGAGAATATACAAGATTAAGATTTAGCAAAACTTTTAAAGTACAGTCAGTATATAAAACTTAGTTGTATTGTTGCTCATTAGCAAAATTAGAAATGTTAAACTACCACCTGTTTATAATTTTTAAAACAGGTATAATTATAAACTTAAGAGATGATGGTAAGGCCCTCACTCAGAAATCTAAAACATTACTGAGAAAAGACCAAAATAGAAGATCTTCCATCTCCATGAGTTAGAAGCTTCATCATTGGAATGTCATATTTATTCATACTGACTTACAAATTGACTGTTACCTATTCAAAACTGTAGGTTGGCTGGGTATAGTAGCTCTGTGAGGTTGAGGCCAGAAGTGCAATAAGTTTCATGCCAGTCTGGGCTACAGAATAAAGTACTCTTTCAAAAAACACACCTAGAGGTGGTTTTGTGGTACATGGTAAGGTGATGTTTGCAATAGAAATTTAAAATTCCAAAATGAAGTAGTACTCTTCCAGAGGTGAAAGACTTTAGTTACACTAATAAAATCAGTATGCTTCTTTTGCAAAACATATGTATGTTTTAATGCATTAGACAACCCTGATACAGACCACAGGGACTAAATGACAAAAGTGACATTAAGGTAGAGAACAATGCACATTGAAAAGAAAACTAACTCTTATTGCAGTATACACATGAAATCAACCTCAGATGGTCCATAAGACTAAATGTAAGAGAGAACATTGGAGTTTAGAATGATCATACAGTACATCAGTTTAGACACATCCTCCATCCTTGTCATGTGATGCTGCTTGATGCCTCAGGATTCTGCCAGCAAGAAAGGCCATCACTAGATGCAGCCCTTTGTTCTTGCCTCAGAATTATGAGCCAAATAAATCTCTACAACTTAAAAGGAAAAAAAAAAATTAGAAGGTAAAGATTTTAGAGGAAGATTTATTTCTTCTTTTCTTTGTTATTCAAGTTTAATGGTTAAATATGCAGTTTGTAACATTTCTTATATAAGCCATGCATGTTTTCTTTCATTCCTTTTTTTTTTTTTGTCTTTTTGAGACAGGGTCTCCCTGTAGCCCCAGCTGTCCTGGAACTCACTATGTAGACCAAGCTGGCCTTGAACTCACAGAGATCCGCCTGTCTCTGTCTCCCAAGTGCTGGGATTAAAGACGTGTGCCACCATACCCGGCCGTTCCTGTTTTTATATTTTAAAACATTATATAGCCAGGTATGGTGGCATGTACCTTTAGTCTCAGTACTTGGGAGGCAGAGGCAGGCAGATCTCTGAGTTTGAGGCTAGCCTGGTCTCCATAGTGAAATCCAGGCCAGCTGTGGCAACAGGGAGACCCTGTCTCATAAAGACCAAAAGGGAAAAAAAAGTATTTACTCTAACAATTGTGCAGTTTTCTCCTGCAACATGAGTTTTAAATATTCACTCTGAGTTTCTTTCTTTCTTTATTTCTTTTTTAGAGAAAAATTAAAAGTTTTAAGATTTGACATCAACAGATCTATTAACACTCCCAAAACAACTAAACTTAAAACTTACTTTTAGATAGTTTATTAAGAAAATAAAAAGACAAATATTTAAAAATCCTTTGTTAGTAAACAAAGGATTCATGCCCCAAACTGTAATGAGAGAACACGACCCTGTAGACAAATAAAAATTAAACTTGAGCTGCTGCTTATGACAGCCTGAAATACGATCCCTCCTTCACCATCACTCTGGTTCTTCCCTGGCTTTGTTTCTTCATACTACTTTTAACTAGTTGACAATTCTATTTTCTTTGTCATACTTCACTAAAATGGGAACTTTATGAGAGTGGTACCATTGTTCGCTGCTGTGTTTCATGATCTTAGAATTGCTCTGGTACATTGCATCAATTTGGTTTAAGCTGGGTGTGCTCAGGCACACCTATAATCTAGTACCTGGAAAGTTGATCAGGAAGATTGTGAGTTTGCACTATATAGCTATACAGCAAGACACTATCTCACAAAACCAAAAATGATAAAAGTTGAATTTTAGAAAGATCCAGTAAAAACTTGAGATTTTCTTTTATATCAGTGTCAGCTCTTTTAATTGTATGTTTTGCCCTAGATTACAAACATCAAATTTCTTTATGATCTTTAAGCATAAACTAAATTTTTCTAATGAAAACTATAGATTGATTTCTTATGACTCAGATACTAGATGTTGATAATTTACAGGACTCATAAATACATGAGAGAAGAAGATAAAGAAGCTATTATATATAGTTGAAATAATAATGTAGATATTACATAAAATGCAGGCATTTCAGATTGAATGCATTCCTGTCTGAGGTGTTTTTTTCCCTCCGTTCAGTGGGAGCTGGTGAGGTGGCCAACTTTGCTGCATATGCGTTTGCTCCAGCCACATTAGTGACCCCACTAGGGGCTCTCAGTGTCCTCGTAAGGTAAGAGTCTATGTTTCACAGATAGAAACGGTATTTTACCCTGTAAAATATTAAAGGACAATCTGATTATATGTCAGTACATTTCAGGAACCTTGAGGACTTTTTTCATACTGTATAGCATTATGCTCTTTTAGAGTCATCCTCTTTGCTGGGTGTGGTGGTGTACACCTTTAATCCCAGCACTCTGAAGGCAGAGGCGGACAGATCTCTGTGAGATTGAGACCAGCCTGGTCTACATAGTGAGTTCCAGACCACCTGGGGCTACATGGAGACCCTATCTCAGAAAAAAAAGTTATCCTCTGCAGAATTAATGTAGTGATTTGTTGGGCACTCATTTTATGCTTTGGCTTGTACTCAGAACTAGCATTAGTAATTTCCACTTTAGGAAATTCCAAGTTGCACTTAACATTTACCATTTATTATTCACATGCTTTGGTAGTTTATTGTTGGTGAAGAATAAATAGGTTTCTTTAAATGCTACAAAAAGTCCACTCTTGGGGTGACAGTCTGTGCCTCTAAAGACTCATTTGTAAGACTAGTCTAAAACTTGTCCTGTTATATTATTTAATCATTAGTCCAAACAGCTAAGCCTATTTTGAAGTCTTGATTTTGGTTACTAGTCTGAGAATTGATTGTAACCACAAAATTTTATTTTTATCCTTTTCTACAATAAATTACATATAAAATAGGATTATTTTGTTTTTAATCTGTACCTTTCCTTATACTATTTTGTTATTGGTTTGTACTGTATTTTTCTTTTTAGGTTTTGATAAAGTTAGATATAAGTTACAAAACCCTGAAGTGTATAGGCAATTAATAACTGTTCCTAGCCCCTAGTGTCTTGACTCTGTATTTCTAAGTAACATAAGGTAACAATAGGCAAATCATACATAATTAAATCAAAACATGAGGGGACTGGAGAGATGATTCAGTGGTTAAAAGCACTGGCTGTTCTTTCAGAGGATTGGGGTTTGGTTCTCAGCATTCACATGATGGCTAACAACCATCTGTAACACCAGTTCCAGGGGATCCAGTGTCCTCTTTTGGCCTCCACATACATTGCACAACATGAGTGTACTTACGTGTATATAGGCAAAACATTCAAACACATAAAATAAGTGAAAAAAAATTCTAAGTAAAAAAAGTCAACACATAAGGACTGGTGAGATGGTCCAGCTGGTTAAAGCACTTGCTGCTAAATTGATGACTGAAGGAAGGAAAGAACCTATTCCTATAAGCTGTCTCCTGATCCCCCATCTCCAAACACATGGAAAAAAAAAAACCCACATACGTAGGATATGTCAAACATTCATAATAGATTTGCTTAGTAATCTTGAAGCATTGTTTTAGACATAGATTCATTAGGACCCAACCTATATAGATGGTACTTCTTTATATTATGTTTCATTTGGATTCTTATAATAAAAGGATGATAAATACTCGGATTTAATGTATGTGAAGCAGGTGATTGATTTTGTTCCAGAAGTTTTAGTGGGCAAGTCCGAATGGACTATATTCTACTGCTCATCCCTAAATACCAGCCTAAGAAAGGAACTTTACTCAAGAGTACTATACTGGGAAGGTATGGAGGCCAACATCCTCAGCACTGTCTCCTGGGTACTGAATGAGCTCACAGACGATGTTGGGAAAGAGGGCCAGAGTACTTCCAGTCTTAATCAACCTGTGGTCAGGCTGCTTGGTTGGGAGGGTCCTTGTCACTGTAGCAATAAGGGAATTGCTATTGCTTGGGTGGTAGCTTAGATGTACCATGAGATGTTTTTTAAGCAGACTTGTTCCTTAATGCCACAATGATTACAGGAGAGGCTGAGTGAGCAGAGGACACAGATGCAAAATGTAGGCAGAGATGCCAACATTTTTATCTTGTTTTTAGTAATCTATTGAATTTGCTCTCAAGAATCAGAGCTTTAGCAAAGGCAACAAGTCCTCATAAATTTATGATTGAATGTACACTTTCTTTGACTAAAAGTGAGAAGTATTTTCATGAGCTCAGTAAATTAAATTATATCTGTTGATTTTAAAAATAAGACTAGCTAATTAAAATTCTCAACTTTTTATTCTCCCTTTTCAGTGCCATTCTTTCTTCGTACTTTCTAAATGAAAGACTTAATCTTCATGGGAAAATTGGGTGTTTGTTAAGTATTTTAGGATCTACAGTTATGGTCATCCATGCTCCCAAAGAAGAGGAGATTGAGACTTTGAATGAAATGTCACATAAGTTAGGTGACCCAGGTAAGAGGAGCTTTATTAGTCTTACTGTAAAGTTTTAACTTAGTTTTTATTTTAATCAAAAGTTTATGTTTGCATAAAGAGACAGATTATCTATACAGGTTATTAGAAACAGTCCTCATGTATCCCAGCCTCTTGTTTTTTCTTTGTCATTTAATTCTGTTTCTAATTTCTAGATCATCTGCTTATGTCACTGCTGCTTCCTTGACTTCAGTCATCATGTTACTTATTACCTCTTACATAGGTTTGCTTATATTGCCATCACTGTGTAACTTGCTTTTAGACCCCAGTGCTGGGATTGGAGGTGTGCAGCACTACATCTAGCTTACTGATGCTTTCTTCTGTATCTTCGATTTTGCCTGAATAGTTATCTTACTTGCTTAGATTTTCTGTGACCTTGTCAGTCCCTGTTAAACTCTCAGTTGTCTACTCTAGGTAAGTGATTTCAAACACATTTTAGGTGGCCTTGGACAGACTTTGAGCTAGGCACCGTGTTCAGTCCTGCTTTCATACCCACTTCACAGTGATTTACATTTCTGAGTGTTCTGTGCTACTAACATTCAGATCCCACTGCTACTGTTGTAGGATTTAGCTTTCTTAGATGAATTATCTTGTGCTTTCTGGCCAGTACTTAGAAATATTTCTGATAAAATATTGCTATTACTGCCTTTCTTTTCTTGCTTCTGTCAGCTTTAAATATATTTTATTTGTGGAGTTTGAAGAAGGATCAGAGTGACTTTACCTTGGTGTCCCCCCCCCCCTTTTCTTTTGAAATAAGGTCTCATGTAGTCTAGGCTAGCCTCCAATTCACTGTATAGCCAAGGATAATCTTGAATTCCTCATCCTCCTGCCTCCAATTTTGAGAGTGCTGTGATTACTGGTTTGTGCCTGGCTTTGTTCCGTCTTTATTTTTTTTTTCATCTTCAAATGTCGATGGTCATTTATGTACTGTCTTCAGAAGGGTTCAAACTGCTGAGAACAGGTCTTGATCCACATGGTACAATTGCTAGCTATGCTGCATGCTTCCCTCTCCATATTCAACCAGGATCGTAAGAGCTTTTAGGTTCTCTTAATGACTTGCTTTTTAGCACTTGCCTCTAAATACTGTTTTAATGTAGCCCTTTGAGGAAAAAATATTCATAATGCCTGATTTTTACACACATATTTTGAACATTCAAGGGCACCTTGTGGTTTAACTATTGGTATCTTCTCTGGTCTGATTATCTCTTTCCCCTTGTCTTGGGATTTAGAATACTTAAGTAGGCATAAGAAGCTACTTTAAAAAATGTTAGTGGTATTAACAGTTTTCTGAATATAAGACACTTTAATTTACCAGTGCATACGTTTATTTTTTAAAGTGGTACTAAAGATCAAAACCAGGGCATTTGCAAAACCTAGGCAAGCATTCCCTACCAACTGAACTGTATCCCGAGCCTTCCAGTGTACACTTCTAACTACATTTGTGTGGGTGTTCTTTTGCTAGAGCAGCAAAGGAAAGCTAATTTTCGTTTTATTTCCAATCAAGTTTTGAGTATGGATTCTGTGTTAAAATATAACTTTTCTTTGCCTCCTCCAGGTTTTGTGGTCTTTGCAACATTTGTGGTCATTGTGGCCTTGATATTAATCTTTGTGGTGGGACCTCGCCATGGACAGACAAACATCCTTGTGTACATTACAATCTGCTCTGTGATTGGAGCATTTTCAGTCTCCTGTGTAAAGGGGCTGGGCATCGCCATCAAAGAGCTGTTGGCTGGAAAGCCTGTCTTACGGCATCCCCTGGCATGGATTCTGCTGCTTAGCCTTGTGGTCTGTGTGAGCACACAAATTAATTACCTAAACCGGGCTCTGGACATATTCAATACTTCCATTGTGACTCCAATATATTATGTATTCTTTACAACCTCAGTTTTAACTTGTTCAGCTATTCTTTTTAAAGAGTGGCAAGATATGCCTGTTGATGATGTCATTGGGACGCTGAGTGGCTTCTTCACAATCATTGTGGGGATATTTTTGTTGCATGCCTTTAAAGACGTCAGTTTTAGTTTAGCAAGTCTGCCTGTGTCTTTTCGAAAAGATGAAAAAGCAGTGAATGGCAATCTTTCTAATATGTATGAAGTTCTTAATAATAATGAAGAAAGCTTACCCTGTGGAATTGAACACACTGGTGAAAATATCTCCCGTAGAAATGGAAATCTGACGGCTTTTTAAGGATATGATTGAAAGGTTTATCTACAATTCTGTTAGTGATTTTTAAATATCAGAATGTATCTACAAAAAAACATTGTCCTCAAATAATGTTCTCAAAAGACAATCTTTTTTAAGGTTTCACTAATTTGGATCAAGAAATTACTTTTCTTATATTTAAACAATGGTAGCTCACTAAAATAACCTCAGTACATGGCTGATTTCTATTAACATTGCATTATTGTAAAGGTATTTTACATTTTTGATTCTTTCTCCAAAAATCTAAATGCACTAATGACAATTTTAAACCTATAAAATTTTTATTTTTCCATCAGTGATGAAAGTCTAAAATGTACATTTGTCACCCCCATTTCAGTCCCTAACCACACTAAAATTTTTTGATTGTGAAAAAAATCCTCGGATTTATCTTGCCTATAAAATTGACTCCTGTTTGATGAATTAATTTTGGAATGTTTAGGGAATTCCTAAGTTACTAATTGAAGGAAACTCATTTAAAACAAAAAACGTAACTGTGACTCATAAGATTCTCAGGTGGTGACTTGATGACCTCCTTGTTAACAATCAGTGTGCCCATGTCCATGATGCCTAGAACCTTGATTGACATTTTACATCAACTCTTCTTCTTTTCAGTACAATTTCATAATGGATTATATTGTCAGCAGACCTTTTAACCACACTGGGAAATAAAATCAGAAGACTAGTGTGATTTCTTGAATTTAGAAGCTCATATTAGGATCTAAAGTTGGAACAAATTCTTTTTCTGAGTTAAATCTCAAATTTAAAGTGTTTGTAAAACATGGTCTCTTTGTACCAGGCATTTTATTTTGCTGAAGAGTTTGAACCATTATACATTTTAGTTTTTTAGAAAATGTTTGTGGAAAATATCTTTATAGAGAATTTCAAACAGGTACAAATATGACAGTGTAATGAGCACTTTCCAACTTCAAAGTCCCATTTATTGACCTTTAAATATCATCCTTCAAAAAAAAAAAAAAAATATCATCCTTCACCCCCTCTCCCCATCCCTGCTGCAGTAAGAACTGAGGTTTGGGACTATCCCGTTTTCCTGTTCCTGCCTATGGTTGTATGAAGGCTTGCTACCAAGCCTCATGGCAGTACTGCTGAGTCCCATGCAGTCTCCATTACAGGATTAACATTCCCCAAGTTTTGTGAAATAAATCCTTTGTTTGCTACCTTTGTTTTATTATTGGTACTCCAAGGAGCTGTTACCTTTTTTTTCCTCTGAATGTTTCTTCCATGTAACTATTTTTTTGGTTGTATTGGGAATCAATCACAGGACCTCATATATGCCACACAAATGTTACAACACTGACCTATATTTCCAGCCTTCCTATGTAATTTAAATACCAGAGATATAATTTTAATTTTTTTCACAGCTATATTGTTTATGTACTGTATCTGCTTTGTTTTGCACATAAAAAAAGCCAGTGTTCATCGCCTTGGGGATGAAAAGTATCCTCATTGAGAATGTGTGACTTGATACTTAAAATGTTTTATAGTACTCATATTGTTGCTTAAGTATTTGATTTTGCATATCACTTGGAAATATAATCATTAACCTTAAAAATCTACATTTCTATAGGGTGAGTACAGATGCCATTAGGATTATTCATATCATAAAAAAATATTTTTAGGTAACTTTTATAAATAGGGTTAAAGATGTTACTCAGGTTAACATATAGCAGAACAGTACATGTTCTATTTTCTGTGTAAAATAAAGCTTGAAGCTCCTGGACTTTGGTGTTTTCCAGCCCAATAATGCTGCTTTGTTGCCTAAGCTGTTGAACTCCTGGGCTCCAGTGATCCTTTTTCCTCAGTTTCCCAAGTAGCAGGGATGTCAGGTGCACACCACCACATTCAACTCTCAGTTTCTATCTGTTTTTATAATTCCAGAAGTAGACTGGTAGATCATGGTACCTTTCATTTGACAGGTCACATGAACCAACTCCGGCTAAGTGGGACAACACATGCAGCAGTTGAGAAGGAGCCCTGTTTGGGACAGGGCTCCAGTCCTCCTTAGTCCCTTTTTAGCAGTACCTACTCTCCCAGGCCAATTTTTTCCTAAACTGCTGTCTGTTAGGAATTAAAGCATTTAACAGAGGTACTAGTGGCCTGGCTTCATTTCATCACTGCCAAAACCTGAATGTAAAGTCAAATGAGTGCTAGTGAGAAGAGTTGTATATTAAAGATGTCATGCTCTTGTCCTGTGTCCTATGACCTACACCCGCTCTGTGCATGTAGGTAGAGGGAATATCCCACCCATGCCAGCGAATGAACACAAATAGGTTGAATTAATTTTTATTTCTCTAAACTTTAAGTCAACTTCACAAATGAAACTTTGTCACAATTGGATTTAGTGGAAGCAGAGGAATGAGGTTCACTATCTTGACACAAAAGAAAGGAACAGTGACTTAAAAAAGGCTTCATAAAAGATAATCAGAAAAATCTAAACCAGCTAGTCATTGAATTTAATGGTAATTGACAGAGGATTTTCAATAGTTAGCTCATATTATGCTTCACATAGGATAAATGGATAAATTTGGCATTTTATAGCTAGCTACTGGAGCATTCCACATGAAAATATTTGTAAGACCATAATGGTAACAGTTGGCACATAGTATTCTCAAACTTCCCAATTCCAAAAGCATATACAATTTTAGTCTAGAAAAATAAGTCAATTTTATAAAATTAAGCTTTCAGATCAAAAAGCACCCCCTTGAGTAGGTACAGACATACTGAAAAATAGCCCCTAAAAATTTACCTATAGTTTATGTAAAGACAAACATGCTGTCAGAGTTACTGAATGCAATGGACTCGGCCCTCAGCTGCTGGCCAGAGACTGGTGAATGGGTGGCTGGAAGCAGCGCACATGTTCCACAGGTGTGCTTTCCCCGTCACCTGACTTCAAGTACTTATCCAGGATAGTGATGATCTCATCATTGAGAATCTGGAACTTGCGAATCCTCTCCACCATTTTCTTCAATGGCTATAACAATTACAGTAGACTGTTATATTCTTATACATTTATTTATTGTATTTAAGAATGCAAGGATTCCAACTCAGAAAAATAGCAAATTTTATTGGCCCATATCTTTTTAATATCACTATTGGGGGGCTGGAGAGATGGTTTAGCAGTTAAGAGTACTGGCTGGTCTTGCAGAGGACCCAGGTTCTGTTCCCAGCACCCACATGGCAAATGGAGGCTAATAGCCATCCATAACACCGGTTCCAGGGGATCTGACACCCTCTTGTGACCTCTGCGGGCATTGCACAACATGGGTGCACTTCATGCATGCAGGCATATACTCATACACTAAATAAAGACAGCAAAAATATTTAAGTATCACTATTGGAACAATGAATACATTTCCAATTTAAATTCACTTCTCTGTCATTTTGATACTGTTAAGTGTAGGTTTATAAAACTCAAAGGCATGCTCATTCAGTATACAGCCATGTACTGGGCTCATGTGAGTAATCCACTCAGGAGGATGAGGCAGGAGCATTACTGTGAGTTCAAGGCCAGCCTAAGCTATAAAGTTGAGTTCCAGATCATGTTGAGTTACAGAGTGAGACTCTCCAAAAACCAAAAGCACACAAACAAAAAAGAACCTCTGGCATGCTAGAAGCTGGAGAGACAGACGAACTATAAAAAGACTAGTAAATTAACAAAATACAAGTTTTATAGTATTTTCAGTTTAACAGTACTGTGGACAGGATGCTTTGAATGTCCTGCTGTGAGTCAGATAAAGAATAAGAACACAAAAACAGCAAAAACAGAAGTGCTGCTAGTTCTTGACTGCACAGGGCTGAAAGCAGAGGTCAGGGCTTCTTCAGATGACAAGCTCTGCACTGGGGTGAGGAGACAGCCTGTTCTATAACTGGACTGCACTTGGCAACTTTACCAGAAGTGGGATGCTTTAGTTAGACTAAATCCCAGTTTGGTAACATGGCACTGAGCAGAAGCAAATGCAACTCTTGGGAGGAAACATTTAAATGAGGTTAAACAAAATAAAAGCTTTCAAATGTTACAAGTGATACAAGAGTGTTAAGAGACTAGACTCTGGGCTAGAGAGATGGCTCAGCAGTTAAGAGCACTGGCTGCTTTTGCAGAGGATCCAGGTTCAGTTCCCAGCACTCACATGGTGGCTAACAACCACCTTTAACTCTCATCGTCTTCTGGCTTCTGTGAGCATTGCATGACATGGGTGCACCTATATACATAGAGGCAATATACCCATTCACTAAAAATATCAGCCAGATTATAGCTGAAATGAATTAGTTACCTGAAAAATGTATCTGAAGTAAAGACTGGATACAGCCAGAGAGCCCAGGAAGTGGAGATATGGGAGCTAGAATAAGCCCTCACGTAGAATTGTCTACACCCAACCCCTTGGACTTATGGCTGTGCCACCATATAAAAAACACTTCACAGTTGTGACTAACATTAGGACAGAGTTCCCAATTGTTTAGGTAGAACCAATCTAATTATCTGAGCAGAACACTTATTACTTAGAGAAAAAAAAGATGAGTCAAAAGTAGGATGGCCACTGTTGCTGGGAGGTGCTACGTGGAATGCATGTGCGGAAATGGGCTGAGAGCAGGGAACAGGACCTCATTTGTATCGTTAGGAGGAACTGAGTTCTGCCAATGACTTCAAGGAGTTTGGAAGCAGATTCATCCCTCTAGGCCTATAGGGAGAACACAGCCCCATGGCCCTCTCCTTTTAGCTTTGTGAAACGTAAGCAGGGGACCCAGCTGACCTATATAGACCTAAAAATGTGTTAGTGATGGTGGTTCTGTCATTAAGCCTATGGTGACTGATTAATGAAGCAAAAGAAAAGTAATACAACAATAAACAACATGGAGAATAGATGATAGAATCGGATTCTAAAAGGGGAGAATGGAAGGACAAAATATTTGAGAGAATAATCCCCGATAATTCAACTGCAAGGGTTTCGTAAAGTGACAAATAGATGCTAAAAACACAACAAAAAGTACAGCATGAAGCCAGAAGACCAGAATAGTATATTAATAATTTGGAAATGCAGATTCCATAATATAAATGGATCTAATTTTCTCAAAAAGAGAAAGAAAATAGACCATTTTGTGTATGTCTGTGGTTTATTGTTGGAATTTTATATATAGTATGAAAACTACTCCCCCCAAACAAAGGTTAAAAAAAGGGTTTTGTCCACATACCACATTTTTGATAATTTCATCTTTGCCATCGTGTTTCTGGACTTTGAGTAGATGGTAGCAGAAATCCAACACTGCAAAGCGCCGTTGCTGGCCGAGAAGTACAATGATCATGCAGCCAGCCCAGTGCAGCCCATCGCCAAAGCACTGCCTATAGGCACGAAGCAGTGAACAGAATGAATAAACAGCAACCTCCCAAAGTTAGACCAAGCCACTGAGCTACACTGCTGTCTTTATCCAGACACTTCCTCATCCAGGAAAATACGGACCAGGTGATCTTCCTGTTTTTGATAAATACTAGTTTTTGGACTGCTCTGGTATGCTGTTTCCTAATCGTTATTAGATCATAGAACTTCAGTGGAGAATATGAACCCGTCACTCAAAAACATGAATGCCCAATTTGCATTCAGTAGCTGTGGCTCCAGAAACTACCAGATAACTCATCTTGAGTCCTTTCTTGCCTTTAAGCAAGAAACCCCACTTGAGTAGCAATAAAGCAGCTCAGTGTTGTTTTTCCAAAAAAAGCTTGGTTGGGGCTTAGCAGTTAAAAATAGTGGCTCCTCTTACAGAGGACTCAGGTTCAGTTCTCAGCACCCACATGGTGGCTAATAACTCCAGTTACAGAGGGTATGATGACCTCTTCTGGCCTCCAAGGGCATTGCAGGCACATGATGCATTTAGATTTGTATAGGGAAAACATTCATACACATAAAAATTAAATAAATACAAAAGGGCTTGGCCGTCTGTACTGATTTCATATTGCTTCTATCACCAACCAGTTCCCCTACCAGTTTCTCCACCACCCCTATAACTTCTGTTCCAGTGTCACACTGAGTGTATACTTACTCCACCGTAAACTCATGTGTCCCCACAGGAATGCAGTACACAAACTGCATGGCACTCCATAGTCTGTGGAACTCCACACATTCATCCACGTGCATGACCCCATTGCTGGGCAGAGGCCCACGCCAGATGGGGTCATCCAGAAAGGTCCGGATCCGTGTAAGGATGACTTCAAACATAGACAGGCCACAGCAGAGCCGCTCCTTGGTCAGCAAGTCCCCCTCTCTAGCAATGGCGATTTGCTACAAAAAAAAACATGGAATCTTACAAGCCATGGCAAGACTGGAGGGCTGAAAGCAAACTACTCCAGTTCTGTTTATGACTTAATTGAAAATGCTAAGGTGGCAGAAGGTTCTTGGATGTATGCATCGCATCAAGTATGTCAACTGTGACCTACATGCCTCAAAAGATTACACTTCAGATTCAAGGAGAATCAAGTACAGTTGTCTATAACTGCAAGCAACTTTGCCTTCAGGCCACACAGCAATGTCCAAAGACACAATATGAGGTGGGTACTGGCATTCAGTGGGTAGAAGCTAGCAGTGCCACAGAACATCGCATAGTTCACAAGACAACCCCAAACCAAGAATAATCTTGTCCAAAATGGCAATGGTATCAAGGGCTGAGTAAGCCAGATCTACTGTAATTGCTAGAGAATCGATATCTTTGTTTTGATACCTTCCCTCTGGTTCT